TAAAACACTGTACAGGCAAAGATCAGAAGATATAAAAAACTCATGAAACATATTTGATCTTCAACTAATATTTTATAAAATAAAGTCGTTTGCTGGTCTTTGTTCTTTAAACATCTCAAAGATTCAAGGAGCTCTGAAGGTGTGTGGTCAAAATGCTTGGCTGCAAACTGAAAGCGCTAACGCAAGAGCCATTTTCCAGGAGAACAATCGGACAGTCTCAGAAACCTTATCGGTGGCAACCTTTTTCTGCTCTACAGACTTGCCGTGAGTCAGAATCATCAGCTAGCTTGCTACTAGTAACAAGCTTGCTATTAGATGGAACCAATTCAATGACACTCAACAATTAGAATATTGGGATTTTAGAATTATTGGCCTGGTTTTTAACTGCTACTATAAATACCCAACCACACAGACATGCTGACACATGCAAATACACAAGCCTGGTGATTCCCATTCATGGCAGGCCATGTTTCTCTAAGTGGAACTGTGCTCCTTAGGGCTCACCAGTGACTGGGTTCTAAAACAAGACCAGTAGCAGGTCTTTTTTCTTAGGCACTTCTGCTTGAACTTGAACTGCAAATCTTTCTATTAGTGGATGGAGCATGAACCGTTGGTATCCTCTGTGGATTCCTGCTCCTTTACCTTTAATAAAATGTATTTTATAATGCTCACACCCTATCTTTTCCTCTTTTGCTTCTGCTCTAACCTATACATTGGTCTACTGCAATTTAGTCTAATGTCTCTACTTTTCCTTCTCTGTTGGAGTGTTCCCCAAAAGGGAAAGTGAGAAAGGAAACCAAATGTAAATCGCTAAGCATACAAAAATAGATGACTTGGATGATTCCAAAGCGGTTCCTCCCAACCTATCCATGATTTCTGTCACATTTCAATAAGGTAGCACCATCCAATTTCAATATATCTTTCATACTTCTAGAAAGCAAATGTTTTGTCCTTATCACATTTACAAATATTGCTGTCTGAAAAACAAAACACGTAAAAAGTATCAAATTTGGAATCAACACCTCTAGCATTGAATTCCAGCTCTATATTGTATGGCTTGCGGGATTGAATGTAATCTTCTACTTATTCTGAGGTTCACTTTCTTTACATTTTAAATGAATCTAGTCACAGTATGATTCATAATATAATAGTGTTTGGCAAACTGTAGAGTTTTTACATAGATATGAACAATTATCATCAGAGAACCATTGACAAGGTGGGGAAATCTGACTGCAGAAGAAAAAGTCATCATGCCAGAAATGAAAAATGAGAAATGGCTTCTTTCTGTATCTCTTCCTTGTCTGTCTCACAGATACACTTCTTGGCTAACCCAAGTCATAGCCTGCTACCGAGCATACACATCCCCCCAGCTGCAGTTGTGGAGCCGGAAACAGGCAAAACAAGCATCCACTAAGCAAGGCTGCTGGTGTGGAAGGAAGGTTTAGCCATTATCTGGACTCAACAAGTCCTTTATGTGACGTAATAGATAGTTTGTCCTTAGCTGCTACGTGTTTCCTGGCTTAGCTGTCTTCGGTGCTGTCCTGTGATTCTCCAGACGCGCTAGCTAGAGAGGCCTGGCTTTCTTCCCTGGGTGGTTGGCACACCACGGGAGAGTCAATTCTCACTCGAGCAACCCTATGAAAGAGACTGGAGTGGTCCGTATGGTTTCCCAGGCTGTAATCTGTATGGAAGCGGCGTATCCCATCTCTCTCCCAGAAAACGGTCGTAGGTGTTGAAAGCCAGCCTTTCTGCTTCACAGCCAAGCTCTTAAACACTTCACCACCAGGGCTCTCCTCTCTTTGACCACGAAAAATATTAATGCAGTTTTAACCCTGGTTAGTGATATTAATTATATTTGGGAAAACATGCTTGCACTTCAGAACCAAAATGTGCTCATTAAAAGCCTATTTTTCACTCTTCCTTAATTAGCAGATAACTTTTTAAATCGTAAGAACACTAACTTAGACATTTTTATTATGTTTCTTTTAATACATAAATGGCCTCAAATCTTATGCGTAACAAAGTGCACAATGATTTAATGAATAAATAAACTGCAGAAACAACAACACACAATGAAGGTGACGTGATAACTAGTCAGTTGCTGGCACAATATGACGTCATAGTAGATCCAGCATGAGACACACACGGGAAGAGTCCTAGGCGTAGAGCAAGCAGTCTGAGGATGGGTGTCGGAAACGTAATTTAATGACAGTACTGAATTGAATAATTCACTTCTCATTACCAAGATTCCAACCCCCGCCCCACCACCTACCCCCTCCATTGGAATGTGGGAATAACACCTAAAGGACAATGGAAAAAAATATATGTGAAAATACCTAGTCCTTTGCATTGAATTGTGTCCTTCAAAAATATGTGTTAAAATCCAAACCCCTGTTCCTGTAAATACTGTCCCTTTTGAACTAGGGTTGTTGGTTTTTATTTTTATTTTTTAATGTTAATTGACTGATATAGATGTAGAGTGGATCCTAAACCTTATCACTACAGGGTTTTAAACAGCTATGGAGACATTCACTGGGGAGTAGAAGACAGATTGACAAGGATTGCAGGCAGGTATTAGAAACTGAAATCAGACCGGCCACCTGAACTATGAAATGGAATTTGTGATGTCCTTTCAAATCGCCCAACTTCGTATTCTTGGTACAAGCGGTCTAGGCAAAGGGGAGCAAAAGTTCTTGAAGAAATTCTTCTCTTTCACTTTCATTTTGTACGACACTTTTGATGCCTTCTCGTCACTGTGACACTTAACATGAGAACTAGCTCATAACAGATATGCAATAAATGTCTATGACATTAGAAATGTGAATATAGTTCATGAGGGTTATAATAATTCACATTTTTTATTCAAAACTGGAGTGGTCATTGAAACATTTGTTTTAACTCTTGAAAGCTGGAGCAGCCATCTTAAATATACAGTTGAGAGGTATTTATTCAGTGAATTGTAGGCTTGTTGCAAATATGTAAACATCAAAATTATGCAAAAGGTTTATTCTGTAGAAAATGGCTCTAGGAAAAAGTATAGCCTATGAATGAATACATTTAATATGATTTTGTAGCAACTCAGCTTTCCACTTTTCAATTAGTTGAACCCAAAATATTATTGGATAAGAATAACTGATTTTTAAAATAATAAAAATTACAAAAAATGTAAAAAACATGATAATTTGAGTTACTGTCAACATATAGTTATCAGCAGTGGGGGAAGATGTGAAAAAAAAATAAAACAGGAAAAAAACCTCTGTAATGTTTTAGAAAGATAATTTAACCCTTTACTATGAAAAGAAGAAATATAGTTCTGCTGATATAGCTTGAGGCAAAAAAAATTACTACATACATTGTTTCTGAGAATGGATTCAGAAGGAAAGGCATAAAGCAAAGGAAAAGTAAATGATGTGTGTGAAAAAATAAATACCTAAACTAGAAAAAAAATCATAGGAAATGTCACTGCAGGGGCACCCATAAAGATGCACATAGGAAACATTTGGAAAATTGGGGCAATCATTCATCATTCATTAAGAAAAATTAAATCAATGTCCAATATATGCTTTACCCACATCAAGAGCTGTATGATTATTCTCTATTTCATTTTGAGGAGGTGATTGAATTCTTAATTATTTTTAATGCTCCTTTTAAAAAGTCGGACTTTCTCAAAGCAATTTTTTTCATTCCATGACTACAGTCATAAACATGTCTAAACATTTTCATTTTAAGAAATTCTTACATAGCCAACTCAACTTGTTTTGACAACCCATTACAGAATGCATTCCATGGCATTCTTTGTAGAATCCACATTTCCCATGCTTAGATTTATAGCATGTTTTCTTATTGTCCATAGAGGAGAGAGAAAATAGCTTCATAAGCCCTTTGTGTCCGAGGGACCACACCCTGCTTTAGGCGAAGCTCCAGAATGACTCATTGGGTCTAGTGGAAGTTTGGAGGGCTCGTGCTATTTTGTTTCCTAAGCCAATTAAGTGCTGAATAAGCACCCTGATAGAAAAACCAATACCAATGAATCGAGCTCTTGGCTACGCCTAAATGTTGCTCCCAAATTCTTTATGGAGAGATGACACATCCATACATTTAAATTGGAAGTTTGTCTAAAGAAGGATGAACATGACACTTGGGAGTGACAAGCTCATGCTGACCTCATGGTCATGAAGACCAACAATGATGGAAATCAAAGTGAGGGCTAACAAATCATGGTCATTTTCTCTCAGATTAGCTTCCGTCGAAATGTCCACGCATAGGAAGCCCGTCTTAGTCCACTGTCCTTCCTTCAATTCTCACAGTTCTCTTCTCTTTGCCACAGAACTTGTCACAGTTATGTAGATTCAGTGTACGAAGATGGGGTCCTCCATGCCCTTTACAATGGGCTGCCCCCCACCCACCCCCTGATCATGTGGTTAAGTAATGGAACAGAGATATAAGCAGGATACTGTATTCTCTCATAAAAACATGAACTTTCACACTTGCACGTATGTACATGTTTCTTGTCTTCAGATTCTTGGTAATGTAGAGCTCAAATATCACATCTCTATAGCTTCCTAAAGCATTGTGTTTTCCTTCATTTATATTCTGGAAGTGATTTACACATAGTTACATTGTATCAATTACTATTCCTCAATCTATTTTTCTATTTCCCTTTTGTTTCCAAGACTCTGCAATGTCTCCTTTGTTTTCAATACAGTGCTATCCTCAAGGACATGTCGAGTTTTATTCTTCCCGCTACATATATTGCCTTGGGTATATTATAGTCCGAATAACATATGTATTAGAAAATTTATTTTTTAAATTATTGTACTGTAATGTTGTAAATATTGTATTGTAGTGTTAGCCTCTTGAGGGCGGGATAGTAAACATGTTTCCTGAGAGCCATGCATACTGAATAAATGGATGGATAAACAATAATACAATGATAAAACAAACATTCATACACGATAGTAAAGATAAGCCAACAAACCCACAAACGTCTTTCGGCTTACCGGTCCATGGCACGTGAGGACCCCCTCTTCCATCTTCTCACACTGAGGGTCACACTCTACGCAGATGGATCCATTCTCAAATTCGCGAAACTCACTGTGAAAACAGGGGCTGTGTGAGGCAGTGTGAGCACACAAGCTGTCAACTTAACAAGTGAAGTCACATCTGCTAACGTCCTATTGGCAGAGTGATTCGAGAGTTGGTTTCTCTAAATGCCAGAAGCATCAGACACCTTTCCCTGTACATCAGGGATCACTTCTCCTCAGGAGGAGAAAAGGTAAAGTGCAGCCAGATGGCTCTCCTGGCCCTCCATGGAGTTCAAGGGTAGACTCGTTCAAGAGAACCGTCCTGTGAGAGGTATTACAGCTGTCTCAGAACTAAACTAGACTGAAATAAGTGTAACGCTTCTCATGACTCAGCAGAGCCATTGTGCCCATTTTGAACGTGACTGTTGTGCCTGTACTTCCAGTACTGATCTTGATTTTCAAGGAGTTTGTGTCTGTAAAACTTTACTGTTGGCTAAAGTGTTATTTTTTTTTAAAACTTTCGAAGAAGTGGTGCCTTTCTCTTGTTGCTAGGTTACATGAATGTTCCTGATATTTGTCCTTCAAGTCCCAACACCGTTGGATTTATTTTTGGTAAAATTTCAAAAACTGCTTTGATTTACTTTCTCTTTGATAAAAATCTGCCTTAGAGAATTAGAAAAAACAACTTTTTATGGTAGATTTTATTTCTTTAGATTATTGATATAATATCACACTTTTTTTTAGTTTAAATTATTTTTGAAGTACTCCTGTATGGCCTAAAATAGAAATGGTTGGTTTAATATTAACTGCCTAAAACTTTCTAATTATTATCTCCTGGGTTGATAACCATCCTCTCCTTCATTCCCACACTTGAGGAGCTATTTCTATAATAAATGATGTCAATACATATGTTTTCCAATAAACTTCTACTCCAAGATTATCATTTCAATAAGTGGGCACCAAACCATCTACAATACGTTTGAGCCGCCCCATTGTCATTAATGTACACAAGGAGGAGGTATTAAGTAGAGATGATTTAGAGCAGAGTTTTGAGACTTTAACAAAATGTGAATAAACATATCTACTTATTATTCTATGCCTTTGTACAATGAGCTATGCTCCACATTCATAGTATTACAAATATTATAATTACAGACTAATTAATTAATTCAATATATTTTCCTTAGAATGAGTAATTCTGTATTTTTGTTTTGCGTTTTTCCCCTCAAAACAAATTCACTTGCTTATCATAAAGCCTTACTAAATTATTAAAAGCCAAAGGTTGTGCTATATGTTTTTTTGGTTGCTTAAACTAGGACTACACATGCTCCCAGGCTAAGTAGAGTTTCATTGTTCAAAAGCAATAGCATAAATGCATACCGTAATTATACAGGCAAAACACAAATAGTTGGCTGAACAGATTTTGAAGTTTTTAAGATGTGCTCTTCATTTGTAATAGACCAAACATTTTGTGAACATTTTGGAGTTTAAGATCTTAACTACATGGGAGCAGATATTTTTTGTTTGTTTTATGTGAGAGTTATAAAATACTTAACGCTGAGAATCTTCTAAAAATCAGACAGACCATCGTGATCTGGTATCCATGGTGGGAAGAGAGGAAAACTGAAAGTGATAAAAGGATTGATAGTTAATATGCTAGGCCCAATACAGATCATCATTTTTGTCATACTAAAATATAGGGCTTTCCTCCTCTCTCTAAGCCCGCTCCACATACTGTTGAGGTGCACGCTTCCCGTAAGTGTGCGAGACATGCATTCAACCACCCTGCTGCCTCTCTGGCATTGAGACTAGAAAGTGACTTTGCACAAGTTCTGCATATTTCTACCTAAAAGCAGATCTTCCTTGAAGTCACTCTTAGTTTACTCTATTATTACTTTCTTTTGTCAATCTCTCCTAGTGATTCTACTACATCTTGTCCAGGGTTCCCCTTTCACTTGAATCCAACCACACACAGGACCGATTTTCAGCTCTCGGCTTCACACACATGGTTTCCTTCTCTCTCTTGGGGCTACTGTGTGTTTCTGTGTTGTGTGTGTGTGTTGTGCTGGAAAACAACCCCCTGCCATGGGGTTAATCCCGCCTCCTATTGCAAAGGAGAAACTGTCCTACAGGGTTCCCAAGTCTGTCAACTTCAAAGGGAGCAGATTCACATTTTTCTCCTCTGACGGGCTGGGGGCTGGGGATCGCCTTGGAGCGCTGCTGAATGAATTCGGCAAATTCACTGAAGTCAGGTCCTTCCCAATTTGAAGTCCCAGGACTAAGACTAATCGCTTGTGCTTTAAAATAGCTCAACTTCTCTAATGACCGTGAGTCAAAGAGAAAAGTACTATGTCACGGAGAGGTTCTAATTATTAAAGGTAAGATGTATGCAGAAAACTTCAACTTCTTTCAGTGCTATGCTCAAAGCTTGAGAAGAATTGAAACGTGATGCCAGATATCGAAACTTTTAAGATTCTATTGCATTTAGCTTTCTTTTTCCTGTTGATTGCTTGTGCACTATAGTTATGATTTGCTGCAATGCAGCGATTTACCAGTATTTCATTTGGATTTGAGTGCTAATCAGACAAGACTTGACTGACTTTCTTTTGTCCTTCAAAATGTCCTCTTTTATTACTTAATTACCTTTATTACTTAAAGGTTTGGTTATCAGGAGAGGAAAAAAAACGATATATATATATTGTTTTTTTTCCTCTCCTGGTAACCAAACCTTTAAGTAATAATAGGGTCCCTGATTTTGTTAAATATTATACTTTTAACTTCACTATTTTATGTTGTTTTTAAGATGAGTGGTGATCTACTTAACTATTTATTCAGCTCAGATAAAGGAAGATAATAATACAAAATAATAAATGTAAAAATAAAATAATTCTAGAGGTAGGAATTCTGGCAAGACCTTTTCATCATTTCTCACTTGGTAATCACAACCATCCTTTGATCAGAGTTTCAAAATTTAGATTACTTGTTCTAGGTTGGACATCAAAATCAGCAGCTACTCTGAGGGAGAAAGACAAGGCCTTCTATCCCATACAGAGCTGTAGTCTTTGACACCCCCAGGGGTGGTTGTACCGTGTCCTCTGAGGTCCCTATGATTTGGAATCGACTTGTTGGCGGTGAGTTTGGTTTGATTCTTTGGACGCTGGACATTCCAATGGTGATATTATCAAATTAGATTTTAGTCCATTCTCGCCCCTACCTTAATTACTAGGAAAGTTCACAAAACCTAGCAACAACCAAAAAGGGGTTGTTGGGGAATCTGTAATGAGGCAGGCAGGGTGACATAAGATGTTTACAGGGTACTTTCTTTAACTCCTTTTCAAACAAACCCTAAAGTTAAAAATGAAAAGGGAAGCATAACTGCTTGGGGTCTGTCACGACTCATAGAAAACCCTTGTTCCCAAAGATGTACATCGTATGGGAGCAGATAATTTCATGTCTCCCATGGAGTGTCTGGTGGTTTTGAAGCATCGCCTTGTAGTTAGCTGAAGTAACAATTTCTTTCATGAATATTAGTCACACTATATAATTCACTGCCCCTGCACTAGCAGTTCAGTGTTTACCCAACAGTGTTATGAGGGATCTGTTATCAAAACAAAACCCATGAAAATATTTACACGCTATGAATAGACTTGATTGCCTGACATAAAAACTGAAAATTTTCAACTTTCAAAAAGATCATGGTAATTACTATTTTTTGCTAAGCAAGGCTATATTTTCCCCTTTTTGGTTGGTTTTCTATGATTTACAGATATGAGATGGTATATGCATTCATATGAAATTTTAAAATTTCCTTATGTCTGAGAAGGATACAACTAAAAGAATAAATCAGAACTGTGCCATTTTTAAAAAAGCAAACAAGATGAAAGTCAAATGTCCTCAGTTTTATTGTAGGCTTAGTTTTCAACAATTTGTGTCTTTGCTTAACTTCACTGCCATCCATTCAATAGCAATTTATAGTGACCCTACAGGACAGAATAGAATGGTTCCTTAGGATTTCTGAGACTGTATATCTACACAGGACCAAATAGCCTCATCTGTCTCCTGCAGACTGGCTGCTGGATTTGAACTGCTGACTTTGTGCCTATGATTAACATCTAACACCCTCCATTATCAAGGTTTCTTGTTCTTATTATATACAAGGTGGCTTAAAAATTTGGGGGGAGAAATTTAATTATCTTGCAATTCTATTTTTCTGTGAACTTTTTGAAGCTCTCAAGTGTATGTGCATATATGTACATATTTATATACATACATACACATACACACACATATATATATAATGCTACAAAGAGATAAAGTTGTTTCTAGAATCAATTTTTCCTTTAAAATACACACATATACATCTTAATAGAAAATGTATTAGCTTAATTCTAATACAATTTGTAATTTCAACTGAAGTATCAACTGCCATAATTTATTAAGAATTGTCTATTGGTATACCTTTTTTATGTATCTGAATCAGTTTACATTTGCATTTATCTTATTTCAAAAGGAATTGTATCCTTGTAATACATTTTTTTCTATGTGTAGGATCTTTTACACCAAAGCTCTCATTTGAAATCTTTGTCAGCACATATTTTCTGAAATATTAAACTATTTTTGTGATCTCCAAATCTGAACCAACCACTGTAAGGCAACACTACAAGTGGCATACCCTTCGTAGAGGTTGCATGACTCTATGCAGGTCCGTCCCCTACTGAAACGTCGGCACGACAGGCACTGGTCTGGCCCCGGTCCCCAGCAGCCATCACTGGAGCACAGATTGTTGCACACCATTCCTTCTGCAGCTGAAATACACACCGAAATCACAGAGAAATTCAACAGAGGTCAGTGTCAAATCAAATGCATTTATTGTAAATTTTCTTAAGTAAAGCGATTTCTACAAGTAAATGTTTGAAGTATTTGCCACATTCCATTCCTTCCATTTTGCAGAACCCTAAACATTTATTTACAAAGCATATTGCATTTTCATAACTTTGAATGAATGTCACTTATGTATCCAATTTTATTTTTTATAAGTAGAATACAGCTTGTCTTGCTCTTTTTTCTAATCTGAATATATCTACCTTTAATCGGGCTACTTGAAACCATTTGTGTTTAATGTGATTGTCCGTATGCTGAAATTGAAAATGAGTCAACTGGAACTCACTTACAGTTTGTACTTTTTCTTCTTGTTCCTTCCTCTTCTTCCAGATTTCAGATCAACTCATTATTTTTTGGTTAATATTTGTTTATGGTTTTATTTGATCTGTTTAATTGTCTTCAGAGCTACAGATTTTTTTATTTTGCTATTTTTATTGATATATTTCAGGTTTGCAGCATACATATTTTTATATTAAACCTTTGATTTTGACATAATTGCAGATTGATCATAGTTTGAAGTAATACAGAGACATCAGATATACTTTCCCCTATTGTAACATCTTGCAAATCTATTTTTCAAGATAAGGCCAGAATACTGATGTTGATATAGTAACGCTGGGGAATTTTTCCATCACTACAAGAATCCCTCGTATTCCCTTTTTCCCCAAAGTTCCAAACAACTGCCGGTGAGTCAATTGTGAGTCCGAGGACCTGAGACTGGAAATCTGCATGACCGTAGAAAGCTTTATCTTTCTCCCACAGAAGCTAGTGGGTTTGAACCATCAACTTTGTGGTCAGCAATCAAAGGAGTAATTTAGTAGCACAATTATTTCTCTCTCTTACCTTAAATCCGACCTCATTCTATTTTCCTCCCCCACAACCACCAATCTGTTCTACATTTTAAAAAATATCATTTTCAGGTATTAAATAAATGGACTCATGCAATATTTACTTTTTAATATTTTTTTATTTAACCAGAAGAATTCTCCAGGTTGTTTGTGCTTTAGTAGTTTATTTTCGTAATTGCTAATAATATTCTATGGTGTGAATGTAATTTTTTATGTCTTTTTAATGAGTCTCCATCTAGCTGGCTTCCAGATTGAGCTATCACAGATAAAATAGCTAAAAATTCCTGGTTCTTTTCATATCACATTTGTCTGGTGCATGTATTGTTGTATTTACACCTAATTATTCAAATGTATTTTAGCTATTTTCAATGCTATTGTGCCTTTAATTTGAGTGTCCACATATTTCCTGCTAGAATGAAGATACACTGATTTTATATCTTACATCTTCTGACCATGTGGAATTCATTTATTTTTCCTATGAGTATTCTATTGATTCATTGTACTTTTTCCCCCCTATAAACTATCATGTCCTCTACAAATAGGGGCAGATTCCTTTTTTCTCTATCTGATTGTTTGTTAACTCTGTTTCTTATCGGTTACACAGATTAGCTAACATTTCCATCATGATGTTGAATGAAAGTGGTGAGGGAAACCTTTACGCTTGGTGTCTAATCTGAGCGGAGCAGACTCAGTGTCTCCACTCACTCTTCTGTTCGCCACAGCTTTTCTATCAAAGGTGTTGATCCAGTTGAGGAGGTTCCCCTCTCAACTTTTTTCTGAGACTTTCTATCAGGAATTATACCTGACTTTTTCTAATGTTTATTTCTTATCAACTGATATGCTCAAGTAATTTTCCTTTCACCCTGTCATTAATTTTCAATAATTAGTACATTTTACTGATTGATTTTCAACTACTGAGGCAGCCTTATATCCATGAATTAAACTCCAACTGGTTATGATGTGTAACTTTTTAATATACAAGTATTGCTGAGTTCTCTTTGGTAATATTTGGTTAGGATTTTTTGCTTTAATTTTAAGATATTATTCTGTATTTTTTTCATTTTCTTTTTGATCTCTTTCTTTGGTTTTGGGATGAGGGTACTGTACTAGATTCATAAAATACATTGAGAAATAGCCTTCTTTATTTTTCTATACAAGTTATTTATAACATGGATACACAAAACCATTTAGCCCTAAATTTTTCTTATTTTGGTATTTTAAAAATCATGAATTTCATTTTCAGAGGAGTTATAGAATTATACAAATACAAAATATATTGCATGAGATGTGATAGTTTATGTTTGCAACAATGTCTGTAATATTCTTCAAATCTTCCCTTTGCCCTCTTCTGAGTGTGTCCTGCTATTCCCGGCCTCATTTCTAATATGGGTGCTTTCTGTCTTCTCTTGCTTTTGGTGAACCTTGTTAAAGGTTTTCATTTTAAACGCATGTCATGATGATAATTTCTTCTACTTTTAGGCAGACACAGTTCTGTTGGTGATGTCGGATATGTATGTATATGTTGGATTACTAACTGTAAGGCCAGGGGCTCAAGTCCTTGAACAGCCTCAAAAACTCTTTAAGTGGTCACTATTCATCAGACTTGACCTGACAGCAGGGAACTTGTTTGGAAATGTATGAGAAGAGCCTTAGTAGCAGAGTGCTTAAATGTGCAGCTTCTAAACTAAAGGTCAATGGTTCAAATCTACCATCCCACAATGGACAAAAGATGTGGCTGGTGCCTCCCTGTAAGGAGACAGCCCATGAAGCAGTTTTACTTTCTTCTGTGGGGAGGCTATGAGTTGGGATCAACATGACAGTATGTGGTTTGAGTAAGCTGATTGGAGTAAAATTTACTGAAAATTATAGTTCTGTTTGTACCACTTTAATGTGTTAAATTTGTACTTGCCATTTAAAATAACAGGAAAGCCTTGTTTGTAAAGATGATATAAAAGAACAGAGGCTGAATAGAATATCTTCTTAGGTTCTAGGATAGACCCCTTTGCAGATATATTACTATTTAGGTAGCTCATACATTTTATAGATTTTAATTCATTGTTACACTCTCCATTTCTAAAATATAGATAACAATCATTTACATTTTCATTTATCATTCATTGAAGTAAATTGAAAAATAGTTGCAGCAGTACATTGACAAAGAAGGGGAAGAAATCCAAACGGAACTCTGAAGAGAGCATGGACCAAAAGATATTATTGATATCATATGGATCTTGCTCCAGGGAAAAGAATAGCAGCAAGCTGTTCACCTGTGCTTTATTGACTATGCGAAGGGATTGAACCATGTGGATCGTAATAAGCCTTGCATAATATTGTAAAGAATGTGAATTCCATAATACTTCTTTAGGCTCATGTGAAACCTGTATATAGTCCAAGAAGCAGATGTTTAAAGAGAACAGGGCTTCCTGCATAGTTTAAAATCAGGAAAGGTGTACATGAATGTTGTATCCTTTCACCTTATTAGTTTAATCACTCTATTGAGCAAGTCATATGAGAAGCTGGACTATATTAAAAGGAATGCAGCATCGGGACCGGAGGATGCCTCACGAACAACTTGGCAAGACGGAGAGGATACATCCTTGCTTGATAAAAGCAAAGAAGACTTGAAGCACTTGTTGATAACAATCAAAAGATTATGGTCTCCGGGATTGATTGGTTAATTCTCCAAAAAAGGAAACAAAAATCTTCAAGCTAGACAAATAAGCAAACTAAACAAGAGAACATTGAGGTTATACAAAATTTCATTTTACTTGGGTACACCATCAACACTCATGAAAGCAGTCAAGAAATCAGAGGGTATATTGCATTAGGTAAATCTCCTGTTAAAAAGCAAAGATGTGGTTTGCAAACTGAAGTGTGCCTGGCCCAAGCCATGATTGTTTCAGTCCCCCCATATGCACATGAAAACCAAAGAGTGAGTAAGGAAGAACAAAGAATTGATGCCTCTGGATGACAGTGTAGGTGAAGGATATTGAATACAGGCTGGACTATCAGAATCAATAAATATTTCTTAGAAGTGGCCTGTATAGCCAGAGTGTTCCTTTGAAGGGAGAATGTAGAGACTTTGTCTCACATACTTTGGGTAGGTTATCAGGAGAGAACAGTCCTTGGGGAAGAACGTAATCTTTGGAGAAGTAGAGAGGGAAACGGAGGACTACCACTAAGGAGCTGGAGTCAAAGAGTAGCTGCAACGAAACTGAAAAATAGTCACAATTGTGGGGACAGTACAGAACTGCACCGTGTTTTATTCTGTGGCATACACGGTCAGGAGGAACCTGAAGTGTCAATTACACCTAACAATAGCACATGAAGACTCTATTCCTACCCCAAAGGTGAATAAAATTTAAAGAAACTTGGGAAATATTAAATGACAATATATGTGTTGTATTGATTTTAAGCTAATAATAGTATCTTTTCTGCTTCTTTCAGAATGCAGAGAAGTAGGCTTTTTTCTCACAGCAGACACAATTTCTATAAAAATGGAATAGTAACATGGGTCTAATTTCACGACTTTCTTGGTGTATAAATATCTCCTGAGTGCTAAAATATTAAAAAACAGTTTAATCAAGATGATTATACAAAATTTGTAAGACTAAATTCTTTGTAATGGATGAATAGCTATAAAGATGTGCACAATCAACCATATTTCCAAATAGAAATAAAATATACATTTCTTATAGACACTTAGCAACATTAAGATATTTTAATAGGATGTTTCTTGCTCAGTTTCACAATTTTTATACTCAGTTGCTTATGGGATGAAATTGAGCTTCAGAGAAATCCCTACAGAAAGAAAGAAAAAGCTAAAAGTTATATTATAAAAGCTAAGATTTTTTTAAAAGTAGAGTATATTCAAAATTATACTGCAAGGTGCACCAATTTTTTGGATTTTCTGTTTATCATCTGTATTTGTTCTTATAAAACATTATCAATCTATTGGATTCTATGTTAATTAGATTCTGTCTAAAGCTCTAAATTTTGAGTTTCTTACTTGACAATGCTAACAAGGTCATCAGCACCCCATTGTCACTGCTCATTTCACTATATTTCAACTTCTCCCATTCATTTCATCAATGTGCATGCCTTATTTTAAGGTTTAATAGCCTTTCCCTCTTCATGCAAAGACATTATGGTGCATCATGGTACAGAGAGGGAATGGGTTGAACGTTTTGCATTTTGTTATTTGCTGTGACATGAGAGGGTGAGACAAAGAGGTCTCCATTTCAGCAAAGATCCTGTCTTCTTTTATGCTGCCTATTGCTTTGTTCAGTTTTTCCTCAGATACTCAATTGTGCAGCAGTTTAGGGACAGGAATGTAGTATCTACTGGGGTAAAGCAACAGGAAACAAAACACATTAGCAATCACATCCTTCTCATTCTGATTTGAGAGCTGGTTGCTCATTTACTCCACACAGCACAGAACAAAGGTTAAAGAAGATAAACCTTTGGAAGAAAAAGAAAAAGAAGTTTTCCATCACCATCAAAAAATCAACAGTTCTCTGAAGTTCCAGAGTGATAGTCAAAGGTGGAGGAAAAGGCCTACGCAACAGCTTGCAGTTCAAAAATACATTACACATTTCTCGAAAGAAACCGTAGGAGCGTATTTACTAGGACAACATTTTATCTTGTCTGTGTTTTCTCTGGAAGCTGTAAAATAGATTTTTTTTATCTCATATGAATTGTAACTGTTAAAAAACTGGAGAGATAATAATGTACTTAGCAGTTTGACCTTTGTAGAGAATACTGAACTTCTTTCATTAAAATAGAGACAAGTTTAAAATGATGGTTCTTGCTACTGTGCTACATGTGGGAATGTAAATGGGTTCACTAAAAAATAACGAAATGCACTCTCTCTCTCTCTAAAGAGAAAGGTCATACTGTCTAATAAAATAGATAGTAGAGCAAAAATCTAGCATAAGAGACAAAGAAAGTCCTTAGGTAATGACCAAAGGATGAGTCAGACAACAGGATATAGCCATAAAATTATACATGCATATAATTAAAGAGTTCAAAATTCACTAATCAAATTCTTATAGAACTGAAGAGAGAAATATACCATTCTATAATAACAGTAGGATACTTTAACAGCACTTTCCATAGTTATTCTATCACATGGTAGTTAAAACGGTCTGGTGCTGGTACTAGGATAGTTAAATAGACCGAATGTACAAAATTAAGAACCCAGAGGTAACTTCATCCACTGACAGTCAGCAGATCTTTGACAAAGGACCTAAACGCTGTCCTAGTATAGAGGATGAGTAATGTAAGTGAGTTTACAGAAAACGAAACATGTACATTTTGATGAAAAGGCAAAGTGAGGTAGGGGAGACTGGGTCATCCCATTCTCGGGAAAGAATTTGAAAAGGGTTAAGATTAATGCTTTCACAGAACAGAGTGGACTTGGGCAGAGAGTAGAAAGAAGGTACCAGATGAACTATGGAGGTCGACACGGACAGATGATGTACTACCCCCTGACAATATTTAGAATGTCATGCTACGCCCTAAAGGCTGCAAGTTTTAAATGAAATAGTATATACATTATTTATCATTTTAAATGATCACTCCACTTGTTTTGATGAGGTTGACCTGCAGACATAGCGGACTAGCTGGTGGCAAGGGGATAAGAGTTAACTGCTTGGGGAACAAAGTAGGGCGACTCAGAGTCCTATTTGAAATACATGTGTTGAAACGGAGAATGTGGAGCTCTTTTTCGGTACCTGCAATCTCTAAGGAAGCTCTTAGCATTGCTCGGCCAGAATCAACCATCTTCCATGGAGAGGTCTGACACAGAAGAGCACAGACCGATCTACACAGAGAAATTTGAGCGATACATCTATCTACTCCTGAAACATTGATTCTCAGTTCTCAGAGATGGCCCATTGCCTTCTTTTAACTGAAGATAATTCGGGTTGGGCTTCTGTCACTAAAGAGAATTACAGCACTTTCCTATTGTTGCTCTAGCAAATTAATAAGAACTTAAAATAGCAAAATTGTATTATCTTATAATTATGGATACCAGCACTCCACAGTGAGTCTTAGTGGGTTAAAATAAAGATATTATAGAGTTTGTTTCTCCTAAAAATTCCAGGCAGAATTCATTTTTGTCTCTCCAGCTCCTAGATGCTACCAGACAGGTTGAATTTCTAATTCCTTTGGTCACATAGGTGGCTCTTTGACTGCAGTCAAATGTCCCTTACTCTCTCTCTTATGATGATATTTGTGATAATCTGAGCCATCTCCTTTTACATGATCTCACCTACAAAGTAATTTTATCATTTAATGTTTTAAGAATTAGAACACAAATATCCTTGTGGGATGGGGCTATTATTCAGCCTATCACAAGTAAAAAATTGCCCAATAAAAACTATGAGTAGGCATAGCTAAAAATGTGAAAAGGGGGTTACTAAACTATTCTTTGGTAAAATATTAAAGTGGGTTAATATTATTCAAGTTAGAGACATAGGGATGGAGAAATAAATGCTGAGGCACAGCTATACATCACAATAAATACATTAACTCTATGTATAACCCTAAGCTTTGTTTAATCTTAGGTTCCCAAGTTCCTCTCAGTCTGACTTATGTGAAATATAGGGACTCTGTCAGCCAGGGAGAAAACACTGATTAGGGGAGGTGTCAGACATTCATAGTGATATATTACGAAGGCCTGGAATGTTTGGTTGGAAAATTGGATAAATTATAAAGCACTTCTCAAAAGGCACAATAAGTGTAAAGGGTAAACAAAAAAGATCCATAAATGTTTGACTGAAATCCTAAAGTACATTAATGTTTATAATTTCCTAGTTTCTGTGTAAAATATCTTTAAATTCACTATATCTTATTGAATGTGTTATTACAGTTATTTTGGATTAGTAGGAGAAAACAATATTTTATGAGATGTTTTTCTAATGTGTCCTCCATTTTCTCTCCATGAACTGTTATTAAAAATATGGTTTTAAATTACTTAATTTTATTATTATAGCTATTTTTGGATTTTTTAAAAGAAACAATCCTTCCCAGGAACGAAAGTAAAGTGTTTTCCATGTCCAGACCAAGACTTTTTTACAATATAATCTTAACTATGGGAAAATAGGAATGAGAAAAGGGAAAGTGGGAATGTCAGTTTTCCCACAATACCTGTCTCAGAATAATCTGGGATGTATTACAAATGCAAAACTCAGGGTCTTGTGCTAGGTCAGCTCCATCAAAACCACTGGAAATGGGAGCGGAGACCTTTTTTCATTTTGATCATTAAAAGTCTTAACCTTAAAATTTAGAAACCACTACTCCAGAGATGAGTCAAAATGTTGCCATTTGTAATAAGAGCTGGATCCATAGCAATACTAATTATGTGGGGGTAGCTCCTCATGCATCCCGATATCCTCGGTCGCAAACATTAGAGTTGGCATTGGGACAACTAATAAGCAAGAGAAACTGCCTATTATCCTTTTGAAAAGAACAGAGAGAACTCTTTTGTAGCTTCATTACCAATTAGATGTTGTCCTCTTTTTAACAAAATAGGAAAATCTCAATTGAAACCTTTTCACAAAAAATAATATATCAGTATATTTGTTCATTTAAGAAAACAGTGTTTGAACTACAATTAAGACTGTTTTGATGAAATTGTTCATATGTAAGTTCAAGTTGAAGTGGAAGAAAATTAAAAGTCCATGACAGCTAAAATATGACCTGGAGCTTATCAGACCTTCGTTTCAAGAAAAGCTTCAGAACAGAGTTTATTCACTGAACACCAATGACAGAACACCCGATGAGCTGTGACATGAATCAGGAACATCATCCATGAGGAGGACAGGTTGCTAAAAGGCAGGAAGAAAGACCAAAGGGGATCGCAGCGGAGACCCTGAAACTTGCTTTGGATCATAGAAAAGCTCAAGAAAAATGGAAGCCTATTTAATATTTAAACATGAAAAAGGAAGCCTATTTAATCTGTAACCAAATTCACTGAAAACAAAAAGCAAGGGAGAATTCGATAGAGTGGATTCCCAAGAATTTTTGGATCTAAACAATCACATGAGGTGATTATTAAAAAGTTCGATTCTCTACCAGAGAATTTCTATAACTCAGCAAGTTTTTGAAACCTGTCAATGAACTATCAAAAGTAATCTCTTCTGAATTATTTAATAGGATGTAGGTTAAAACTATTGCTAGGAGTAAGAGTTTGACCAACTGTCCCTTTAACGTTGGCTACTGTGGACTGGGAGAACCTGTGTGAAGTCGGTCTGTTTCCATGTACTTGATGTACTTACTACAGTTGTCAGCTTTCCTGTTGTCCCGGATTACGATTCTTTGATTGATTGTGCTGAAGAGCATTGTCCAATTAATGGTATGATAATAGCACAGATTGCTATTGTCGGTTATGTAGATGTTTCCAGCGCTGATTTCCTTCAGAGACTGGAATTGCAACGAAGTGATGCTGTGCTGCTTGAGGATGAGCAAGGAGAGGCCACTAAAGTGCAAGGAGAGGGACAGCAATGAGCGGTCTCTGCTTCTGAAAAGCATTCCCGAAGCAAAACCAGGATGTCACACGATACACTAAAACATGTTTAAACCAATCTTCTTTCATCTATGTTCTAAACAGACTCTGGTGCCAGGGCTAACGATTATGTTACACATGCTACACATGTTCACCAGTGGCTTGGTGAAGACTCAGATGCAATTGATTTTCTCAAATCAGTTTGAGAATATCCATCATAGCATCCTTGAACTGTCGAAAGCCATAACGGCACAATGTCTGATTGATATATAGCATTCGGTTTTAATAGGCAGTAAAAGTTGGTGGCATTAGGAATTGAAAAGATTAAGTTGATCAATTGTCTTTTATTTTATTATTAATCTCTTCTTCCTTTTTTATTGTAAAAATGTCCTAGAAGATATATCTGCTTTAATAGTAAAATTCAATATAATGTCTTTGAAGTATTATAGAGTATTCACAGACTATTGATTTTTGTCATCTTTCCGATTAGAACAAATTAAATAAAAACATCTTCATTAAATTAACTTTTAATGCTACATAAATAGGAATTTCATACAGCAGAATTTTCAAGTAAAACTAAAATGAAAGCAGTGGCTCGATAAAAACAAATCCATATATTTTTATCATGTGAATTAAACATATTTGTATTAAAATGTTAGGACTGTGTCCTTGTGGCCTCTGCTTTACCTATCGATTTATAAAGTTACACTTCATGTAGAACCATGCACCAGTTCTTCAATATCCACCCTCCGGTGTATGCCTCTAATGATGGCAGCAGAGAAAAATAAACAGGTCCTCCTGTTATAATATCATTCATATGCAGCACACCTGAGCTATTTTCCCCCACTTTTATGTTTTAATTACACTAGATGAACAAAATCATGTTTTAACTTTATGGTTCACATCAGGTACTTCAAACCTGCAAAACACATATTAATTTCAAATGACTGGCACTTGAAAAATTAAATTGTATATTACAAATACTTTATAACAAAATCTGAGATAGTTTTATTGCATTCATTTCTGGAATAGAATTTGGGAAAATATCTACTAGATTTTTAAGGAAAACATACATTCACACATCCTTTTTCATCATTCAAGGAAAACCTGCAGTTTTATTTTTCTGTCCTTGTTCATTTCTTTAAATATCCAGTATTTCTAGATCACCTGAACTAAGGAAACTGAAGCTATGGAAGAATGGGAAAATTAGGTTCTACCTGAAGCATTAGCAGGTTCACCTACCTATAGAGTACTCTTCCACCAATAGTGACCAAGTTCGAAAAAACACTGAAGTCCGTCATGTTTGGAGGCCATGACTGTATGTTCAAGAAACCTACAAATAAAACAGCGGGCAATGAAAATAATCAGAATGTCATTGTTTTCAATAATAGTTCTTAGTACTGGTTATTCTCATCATATGAGAAGACAATGTACTGTCAGGGGTGATAAGAAAATAATACTATATATTCCTGGGACATATACATATATTAAATGCTGATTTGGTCCCTTCTTTTAAGACTGAATGTCTTATCTACATTTCTGACCCATACTAATAACTCTGAGTATCACAATGATAAAAAAAAAATTATGTTCCCAGGATTGTAGGTAGTAAACATTTAAAATATTCTGGATTTGATTTATTCTCCTAAAAATGAAGGTACCTGGGGTAAAATGTGAAAGTATGTTTTATAAATATATAAAAATAAAGCTGTAGTTTCAAATTTTCTTCTGAAATTTTTATTATTTTATAATAATTATGGGTATGTTTATTATGGAATAAGAATAAAACCTGTCCAATTTGCATGAAAAGTCATTTGGGGATATGATATTTCTTCTTCATTACATTTTAGGTTCTTATTTGAAACTCTATGTAGGTCCCAACTCAATAGACTTCATACGGAAGGTCTTAGAACCCCCTTGAAAGCATTAAAACAAGTTACCATCTAGTCAAGCTGAACTTCTAACATTTCAGGAAATAACTGAGCATGTTAAGCATTTGCACTACCCAGTGATACTTGGAACATGTTAGGTACTCACTAAATATGTGCTCAATAAATGCTATACACTTGCCTCTCATTTATTGGTTCTCACATTATCTAGCTTTTTTTTTATTTAAAAAATGATAACATACCAACTCTTTGATTATTTGTTGAATTAATAACATATATCTGAAGGGAATACATGTTGAGGTACAAGGCAAGAGTGTAACAGTGGCTGTGAAGTTTAAAGTTATGTAGCAATCTGGCTGAGTTATGATTCTCAGTGATCTGGCAATTATGTGGTGATATGATTTAGAGACTAAGTAAAGGAAATTTGACAATTGCGTAATGAAGACACCATCCTGCATTTTGTGACCCAATGTGGTCATCTTCCACTTTTACATAAGGCTGTTTTTTGCACAAAAGCTTGATTTTTGTAATCTAACCATGTTGATAAATGAAATATTGGTATGTATGCAAAACATCAAAATGGATAAAAAGTACAGGCTCAGATTTCCATTGATAATTTGAAAAGTAGCGATGTCAACATTTAATGAATATTTTGTTTCTAAAGATCCATGTCAATTTTCTAAGCATCCACAAAAATGAAGAGGTTAGATAACTATTGCTTAAAAAACAAACAAACAAACAAACAAACATGAGTTTTAGCAACTGGATTTTGCTTTTAATATGAGTTGCTGATTCCAACATTATGAAACACTTTAAAGAAAACACTAAAATTATCATAACACAATCACTGCACTTTAGAAACTTACCTGTTATCTCTCTGACTGTCCGGAAGACACTTAGCTTTTCTGGGTCTATGGCTTCAATTGCATTGTAAGGGTCCCTAAAAAATCCCAAAGAGATACAGTCAAATTGAAAGAAAAGAGTGAAAATTTTAAAGGAATGACAAACGATTACAATTTGACATTTAGTAGTGTCTTTCTAAAATTCTTCGATGATAGATGAGGACTAGAACTAATCGATGGCTTGAAATGATTTTTTTTTTTATGACACAGCATGAGTTCTTCATCACATGCGACTCTGTATCAAAAGGAACAATTCTGCTTTGGCCATCAGAGAAACAGAGCAATAACATAAACACCAAGTCCCTGCCATCCAGGCCATTGCATCCACAGTGACCCTCTGGAAAAGGCAGAACGCCGAGCTCTGGGCCCTGCGGCTGCAGCACTTCCTGGAGACAGAAAGCCTCATCTTTCTCTCTGACCATCTTCAAGAGCTTCCCAAATATGGAGTGTCCATTTACAGTGTAAACAATTTATTTGAGGGTCCCTCATGGATTCTACATTTTGAATTAAATCTCCTTTCATAGGCAGCTCAGAACCACACACATCTGCAGTTAATCATATTTTCTTTTTCTTGTCAATGTCACATTTACCTATAAGTTACAATTCAGTATCATGCAAACACTGCTCAGTGGGAAGATTATTTATTTAGGCCCATTTTGTTCCTATCTTCTTATTTAATACTCATATTTTGAAAATACACTCTTCACTTACATCTGAATGAATTACACTAACCTTAAAAATAAACTTATTACAAAAGTAGTCATTTCAAAAAGGTGCTCCAAATTTTAAAGAATTTTAAACAACATGCCTTAATGAATCCCTATTTTTGCAGTTCGTGTGATGAATATAGAAATGTTCTATCTTATCAAAAATGAGCACAAAGCACCTGAAATTGAATGTAGCTACTCAGCTTTAAAACATCCAGTTTGCCCTTTAAATAGACAACCCTTACTTGCCACTTAATGCCATGTAAATTTCCCTTACTTTTAATGTTGAAGTGATTGGACCAACCCAATTTAATCACAATAAATTCTTCATCGCAATTACCTTTGTTGAACGTGAAGCTTTTGAATCACAAAAACTTCGGAGTCCTTTCTAGTAATAACCTCACAGACTGTCATCAAGCTGATTCCAAGTCACTGCAGCCCGCCATCGTGTTTTCTTCTGGTTAGCCACACCCACTTCACCCACAGCACCACCAGAGAGAACTGTGGTGCACCTGTTGCAATTCACCTACAAATCCCACTCAAAGATGTCCACAGCAATGGATCAGCTTTGTTACTCAAGAACTGCCTGTGTTTGATTGATTCTTCCTAGAGATTGTTATCTTAAGGACATAATTTTCTTTAAACATACTGACCATGCAAAATGATTACATACTGTACTATGAAGAAGGAGCCCTGGTAGTGAAGTGGGGTAGGGTTGGGCTGCTAAACAAAGGTTTGCGTTTAGAACCTATCAGCCAGTCTGCCCCTTTGGAGAAAGCAGAGGCACTGTATTTCCATAAAGATTTACAGCTTCTGAAAGCTTGAGAGCCATTCCGTTGGATCCAATAGGGTCTCTATGAGTCAGGATGGAAAAGGTAACTGTGAATAGGTAACACAGAAATGTATCACCAACACTTTCTCAATAATTAAAATAAAACATTTAGGGTTTTTTTTAAGGCCTACAAGGTATTTTTAAATTTTTATTAATTTAGATAGCATTTTATATTAATTTATTCCAGTGGGGACTTGCTACCAGTATTACTATAAGCCGTCTGGAAATAAATTTGATTGGTTAGCCACTTCTTCAAGAGAAATAAAAACTTTTAAGAACAATGATCCTAGCTCTTTTGCAAGTATCTACCTTTAACACTTAATTTCATTTTCTTCTTGTTGTGGGAAATTATTGTTTTCCTGTCTTGTGGCATGGGAAATAACCACTAATAAGTAGTAGTGCATTGGATGTAGCCTTAATAAAAATATTAATCAAGGGACTCTACCTTCCCATGACCAGCAGAGAAACACATGGTCTAATCTTTTGGGAATTTATGCTCAAATTCTATCAGATCCATTCATGTCAACATTACAACATTAGAGACACTGTCAGTTACGGCCCCTGTAGTCTCTGGAACCACCTTTTTGACCTTACTGACCTTGGATCATCATTATATTCTGCTAGTGAATTCTTAAAATAACAACAACTTTGCTTGATTAAATTGCTTTTTAAACCATCACCCTAAGAAATCCATTTGATGCAATGTACTACTATTATGAGTCGTTGATAGCAGTCTCTAGCACTGGGGGTTACTGAAATTGAAGAAGCGTTATCAAATAGAATTTCCCTGTAATTCACACATTAACTATCGACTAAATTGTTCCTCAATGGAACATGAATATCATTCACTCAGAAGCTTAAAGTATAAGGTAAATTACTCTGGCAAATTTCTCTCTGAGTAACACAGGGTGCTTCGGAAAACAGTGATGCTTTTAAACAATATGATATCCAAAATTAAGTTCACCTGTGGGAAAACATGTTCTCCTTTCTTGAAGTGCAATACTGCAGTGTGCAGAGGAAATAGCAGCTCTGCCTTAGTAGAATGAGTTTTTAACATTTGGTGTTTGATGAAAGGCAATGTATGGAACCGTTCTTAGTAGTATAATCAAATAACCTGACTTCATGGAGCACCACTCAAAATTCAGGGCAAGTACACAATCATAGGGTCAGTCCAAGCCTTTACTAAAAACACTTTCAGGTTGCCAGGAAGGAAATAAATTCTGTACTGTTAGTATGAAGCCCAATGGACCACGGAAATTTTATATACTTAATTTTAGAGATTGGGGACTCTCATAAAATAAGTTGACAGAATTCCACTTACCAACTTCAAAGTACCTCTTGGGAGCTTCATCCTACACTCACTTGAAATCTATAGCACTTTCAAATCAATAACTTTCCAAACTAAACACAGAGCCATTCAAAAGCACATTGTATTCACCCTGTTATTTGTGGCTAGTGATGAAAAAATGCTCAGTCACGAGATAAAAAGAGAAGCATATTTTCTCAATTCTACTGAAATCTCTCTATTTTACCATCAAATCTATTATGTCTCTTCCAGTGTCTATTATCATTACAGTCCACTATCTAAGTCCCTTCTTCACAGTGTTCCATACTGACACAGGATCCACACGCTTACTTGGTGGACATCTTGTATTTCTAAGCCGATGTTCATGGTCACTGTCAAGTGTGGCAATACATTAAGGAGGAATGTTCCTACTGATGGCCCTAAAATCTGAGCTTTGCCTGCAATTCTCATTTACCACAAGGAGTCAAGACTGAATAATCTATTTCCTAGCACAATTGTACTAGAAACTAAACACACTGCTTAGCTTTTTGAAGTCCTTTTATATATTAAAGCTTTAATAAATTTATCCATGAATTTATATCTTCAGAAACGTGTTTTCTGGGGGAAAAACTCTCATTTTATTATTATTTTGTAGGGGTTTTTTGTTGTTGCTTGGTTTGGTTTCAAGAAATATTCTGGGTATTTTAATTAAAACAATCACATGATATTTTGGTTTGTAGATACTTTTAAGCTAATGGGAAAAATTGATATGAAATCATTCCATTAATTATTAGAAAATTTTTGCTTTCCTCTGTGCCCATGTATTCCTCTTTAAACACTATATAGGCATAGGTATGGATATGCATGTATATCACATATACAGGTTTGCATGTATATGTCATTAGCATACTGAAAATGCCAATACTTATGTAAGATAAAAGAGAAAAGGTCAAGAATACATGTTTCAGGATAGCTAGAAACAGAAGATGAAGAATATGTCATGATTTTGTGCATTTTATGTTTTATTTTGAACCCAAACTAAACAGCTATTCTGAACTTGACTAGATATGTCTTTTTCAAACCCTCTTATTTGATCTAAAAAGGTCATTTTTCATTTGCTCCTCATACTCTGTTAAGACAGAGATCTGTCAGTGGCTGGCTATTAACGGGGCTAACACAACCTAACTCAAGGGGAAGTGGGGCACTTCTAGAAGTGTTTTGAATGGTCGTGATTAGGAGATGGTGCAGGCTCTGAGTCATAGTCAAGCCCGTGTCTACTGCCCTTGAGTTGATTCTTACTCTTGGTAGAAACTTCTCCTTGGGGCTCCAGAGACTGCAGATACATCCCAGGAGCAGACAGTCTCCTGTCTCCTGCAGAGCAGCTGCTGGATTCCAACTGCTGACCTTGTGGTTACTAGCCCACGCCACCAAAACTCCTAATCCAGAGACTGTGGTGTTAAAAAAATGGAATTTTCAGGATGGTTCCTCATAGCAAAGAACTGTTTCTTGTTTAGTATAACATTAAAATGGACCAATAGAAGTTTAAAACCTCATGTGTGCAAATTTCATACTTGATCCTTTTTCTTTGTTGACCGAATTCCTTAGTCATGTTGCCCTTTCTAAAATTAAGCCAAGTTTGGTGGGTTTGAAACACTGACCTAGTGGTTAGCTGTCCAGTGTTTATCCCACAGCACCACCAGGCCACCTAAGTATGTGTATAAGTAGGCCAGATTACCTATCGAATATCCATTCAGAATTGAACTATTAAAATGCCTAATATGTATTTTTGTATGTGTGTGTGTATATATATACATACATACCTGTACATGTATATAGACATACATATAAATAAATGCATATATGCATATATAAAAGCACACACTCACACTCTGACATCTGTACATCAACCATAGAGTTTATGCCAACTAGTTGCTCCATAGAGTTTCGTGGACTGTGATATTTATTTATAGGAGCGATCCATTTCCAGCTCCCTTTGAAAGACTGATGGATTTTAACCATAGACCTTTTGCTTAGTCCTGCAGCACTTAAGCACTGGGTTAACAAGATCCTTTGTATGCAAGGATATATGTCTGTACATGTTTACATATGATACACAAGATATGTATATACAGTGTATGATATATAGCATGTGCATGTAGATGTTTATACACACATATATGTGTGTACATTCCACACATTTATGAGAAAATAATCCATTAACTCTTAATTTCATTCTCTTATGAATTTTCAAGAATCCCAACATATATATTGGCCTGACAGGGATAAAAAGAAACCTAGAGTCTACTGAAATTTGTGATGATACAACTCCAAATTTTTCTCCACACTTGGATTGGAAGCTCATCCATATATTATTTTTAGACAAAGGAAAGCACAGTGAATCAAGTGGCAATATCTTCTGCATTCGCAGAAGACAGAATGTATGAACATTATAAGCTCTCATTTATGGTATGACAAACTCAGGGTCCAGAGTAGTTCCATGTAAACATACTGTGGTACTAAATATCATACTCATTCATATAAACTGCAGCACTTCAAAACATTTATGGAAAAATTCCATGTTTCCATGAACTTTTGGAAATCCCCTCACATGTACATGTATAAACATGCACCTACATTCTGGCAGAAATCTCCTCTGCAGTGGTGTCAATAGGCCAAGACAAAAGTGTGAAAAAATTGAGAGGGCCAATGGAAATGTGTCTCTTTTCAAAATGACCAGTGCGACCGAGTTTCAGTGATTTTCACCATTTGGAAATGTTGGAGAGGAGCTATCAAATATGCATATTTCAAACTAAGTTGGAAATCTTTATGCTAATTTAAAAAACAAAATAACACGGCTGGGTCAGATAGGAATATAACACATCTGACAGGAGCGATTGAATGCTATTAAAATATCTGACATTTGCCCATACTAAAAGCTGCATATCAAGCTAAATAAAAATGTTGTGTAATAAGATAGTAATTTGCTTGAATTGAATGATAAACACGTGGCTCTATTGCTCTTGCTGTTTCTCTTTGGGCATATTTAGACATAACACATTAAATTATTTTGCATCTAGAAATGATATGATATATGCTCAGAGTGAGATTTTGAATTGAATTATGTGAGGGTTTTTCTTTCTTTGTAGCCAATAGCACTAATATTTCGAGATTAAGTAGTAATATAAACAAATAGATAAAATATAAAAAACTATTGACATTTTTATTACAATTCAAAGAATGCTAATTTGGTTATATTTCCAGTTAAAGTCAGTGGGCGGTTCTGCTATGAAGGAGCTCATAAAACAGTTCAGTTTAATTCGATCAGAAGGAAACTCATGAAATAGATCTCTTCCGGCGATGCTGACTTTTCAATTTAAGTGCAAAGACAAAAAATATGTACACCAGTGCAGAAACAGAATTTCTGAATGAAGCTCAGGAGAATATCAACTTATGTAAATGTGCTTGTGGAAATTTAAAAAATATTAATTTTTATTGAACAAAATTCCCTACCCTACTCATTGGCCCTGTTTTCCTAAATCTACCTTAATGTATGTGAATCTTGCTGAAATCTACTGATTTGAGGAGAATACTCTACAAATACTGTTTGACTTTATAAAAAATCCATACATTGAAACCAATGAAAATTAAAAAAATAAAAGCCTAGACATCTTTGCTTTACTATCACAGCTGATAAAATTGTTTTCTTAGTGGAGCACAATTATGAAGGGCAAAACTTTTCTGGGTCAAAAAGATTTAAAAAGACAAGGCCAAAGAATTCCTAAGGCTTTGACCACATCTTGTAAAATAATTTTGTCCAAGAATTTAATACTGACCCATGAATTCCAGTGACAAGGAAAATCAAATTTCCATTGATCTTGGTGCAGTTTATGAATTTGTCGATGTTGCTGGAATCCACAGTCTGAGCTGACATCAACGATCCTGTGCCGATGCCATCACAAGCTGTCGAAACAAGAGTCAGTCGAGCCATGGATAAACTTATTTTGCCAATCAATCATAGCATCACAAAATAACAATGAATAACTTGTCACATAAAATTACCTGTCTTTCAATCCATTCTCACCCACTTGATTTATTATTTGAAAGGGACATTCACTTTAGTAAAATAATGCCATGATACTAATGGTCTTAAAACTGAATTTTTAAAAGCAGGCCTCCAAGGGAGACGACTGTACATAAAGTATACACGACGCATTATGACTGTGAGCCATAAATAGAATGATCAGTCATTTTAATATGTATTTTTAAATTGAGACCTTATGCTGCCTTAAAGTTCTAACGTTTAAAAATGAAACATATACAATATACAGTCATATATATTTATAAACATGCATCTACCAGGAGTCTTCAAAAAGTTCATGGGAAATGTACATTTAGAAAAATTATGGGTCAAATTTTTTTAACTAATAAACCAAATGAATAGGTACTAACTTGTTAAAACATCTCTGAAAAGGATCTAGATTGGGGCAAGAAGAGGAATAAGATATCAGTTGGAAAACTGTCCTTATCTGTACTACGCGAATTCTGCTAAAACTGAAGTTTGAACAAATATCAAATTTATAGTAAAAGCCTGGTTGAAAGAATGGTGAAATCATTAATGTTTTATGAAACATTAACGGGGACAATGCCCCAGAGATATCATCTGTTTTCAAATGGGTAAACTCAATTTAAGAAGAGACACTAAAGAGTTGAAAATGAAGCCCAGAGCAGCAGGTCTTTGATGTCAAGAGAAAAAAGAAATCATTTATGAGCTCTAATTGAAGAGAGCCGACAACTAACAGCAGAAAGAAGAGCCAACACCATCGAACATCTCAACTGGTTTAGCTAACACGATTCTGAAAAAAATTTTTTTTTAATTTAATTGAGCGAACTTTATACTCCATGGGTCCTCACACCGGTCCACCCAAATCAGCTGAAAGAGAGCTGTCAAGGGAGAATCTAAATAAGTGAATGAAGATCATGCGGTATTTCTTGGAAGAATCGTACCAAGGAATCTAACAGGGCTTCTCCAGAACAATCCTGAAGACAATTCAAAAGTAAAGTAGCAGCAAAGCAATTCTACCAAGAAGTAGGGTTATTCCAACCAAAGCACAAATAGACCAGTCAGCGGTGAAGGTCAAGGTAACAGGATTTGGGGGGATGTTCAAAGTCTTTTGCTTGTTGACTTTCTGAAGGGCTAAAGAAGGCTAGCATCTGCTTGCTAGGAAAGTGTTTTGAGAAATCAATGCTTTATCAGAAAAATGTCCAGAAACTTTTACCAGAGTCCTCCATACAAGTAATGCTTCCGTTAATTCCTCTCACCAAATAAAGGCAATTTTGCCAGAGTTCATTAGGGGAAGTCATTAGGCATCTACCCTGACACACATAACTTGGCTCTCCCTGACTTCTTTTTGTTCCTTTATCTTAAAAAAAATTAGGGTTCACTCATTTTTTCTAAAGTTCATAATGTAAAAATGCCTGCATTAACATGGTTAAATTCCCAGGACTCCCATATTTTAATGACTGGACATCATGGCTGGAATGATCTCTTACAAAAGTGTCTTGAACTTGACAGAGCTCACTCTGAGATATAAAGCATATATAAAGATATATTTACAATTTTATCTTAATTCAAATTCTATATGTCCATGAGTTTTTTTGAAGTCCCCTTGTATAACCATACATATAAAAATGTGTGTGCATAACCATGTTTATGGAAAGAAGTCACCATCATTACTCAAATACGGAGCAAATAATTAAAGGAAGCTGGACTACATGTAGAAGAACATTGCTTCAGGATTGGAGGAAGACTCATGAATAATAGAAATTTGTAGGAGATACAAACTTGCTTGCTGAATGCTAAGAGGACTTAAACCACTTAATGATGAAGATTAAAGACTATGTCGTCAACTGAGTATAGCCCAATATAAAAAAATAAAATGAAAAAACTCCTTCAAACTAACAACAAGCAACATCATGATAAATGGAAAAGAGGTTCACGTTTTCAATATTTCATTTAATTAAGATCTACAATCAAAGTTCACGAAAACAATAGTCAAGAAATCAAACATCACATTGGACAGACCTATTGTAAAAAACATAATGTGTTAAAAATAAAGATGTCATTTGAAGAACTTAGATGAACTTGAACCTGCAAATCCATGTGAAAATACAGCAAGAAATAAGGGCTAAAAAAGAATGATCTATGCATTTGAATTATGAATCTGGTAAAGAATATTAAATATGCAGTGGATTATCAGCAGAAGAAACAAATCTGCCTTGAAAGATGTATAGCCAGCATTTTCCATAGAAGTAAGGACAGCAAGACTTCATCTCCCTTAAGTGGGACACGTTATCAGGAAGGAAAAGTTACTAGAGACAGCTGTGATACTTGCTAAAGCATTGGTGAAAAAGAGAAGCACAAGGTTATTGGCTGACACAGCGGCTACATCAATAAGCCCACACTTGGCAACATATTTGAGGGTGTTGTAGGAGCAGGCAGTATTTCATTCTGTTGTCCATGAGTACAACATGCTATAGGTTGGAACTAATTTGATGGCACCTATAAACAACAATGTGTCTATGTGCAGATGTATGTGTATGTATATGTATCTGTGGGTGCATGTGTGTATGTTTCTATGTACTTAATCTCTGAAGCCTTTGCCAATGTGTGTTTGTGTGTGCACAGGTAATTTAAAAATGATTGCTATAAAACCAGAAGTCTTTATAAATAAAATATCAAAATAGGAGGTTATTATGTCTTGACGTATCCTCCAAACAGGTCTATATACTTCTGACAGAGAGACATTTCAATCTCTCTAACATTTCCTTGAAGAATTTTGCACTCTTCAATTTAGATCATGTCAAACGTTCTTTGAGTTCAGGGTATGAAAACAATCTGATGGGGAAAAGAAGGGCTTTGGAGTGGACAGGATAATGATTTCCAATAGAATTCTCATAGTCAGCTGTTGCTGTCCAAAAAGAATGTGCATGCATGTTATGAAAAATAATTAAAGGAAGTCCTCAGTGCATCTTTCTTGGCTCTTTCCTCATCAATACACATTCCAATTGTCTTACTACTCCTTCATAACAAGCCTATCATTGTCTCGGGGCCTTCAAAATTATCTATCCAACCTACTTTCAGATAGAGAACAACAACAAAACATGGTCACCATAAACCTTCTGAGCTGACCTCTCTGCCTTGAATTTACCTGTCCCAGCAGCTTACCCTAAAACCCACTCTTGTGTTCAGAACTGTATCTTTATATACTATCTCTATATAATATATAACATAATCCCAATATATAACATAATATTAGTAAATCCAACCCTTCATTAGGATTTGTTCCAAACAATGATCGACATTTGCTTAGCTCTTGTTGAAAACACTGAGGGGAAGATCGTCACCTTGAGCTAGCTAATTTTCACACAGCAGACACTTTTGGTACCCATCAAGGCAAAAACTTGTTTGGGCCAAGTCGTGCGCTTAAATAGAAAAAATGTTGAAGCTTGCCAACTCCCAGTAATTGTCACATTAGTAATAACTCTACAGGATTCCCTGAGTTTCAAGACTTCAGCCATCGTCTTCGTCTGTCGTGATTGACAGTTGTCTCTATCTTGACCCATCTTTGAGGTCTGCCCAACCTTACTTTCAATGCTGGAACCATCTCAGAACTTTATTGTGGGGCAGCATTCCTGTGCATTTGTTACAAAGCTTCAATGATTTGAGGGGTTGTGCATTTGGGTTTTACTAAAATTTAGTTCTTGTCACTGACCTCCAAACCGTATTTTTTCATGATACAGAAAGTATTCTTTTTTTATTAATGCATACTAACAAGACAAAGACAAATGCATTACTGAGAGAATATGTCTGCAGCAGCCATCCATGGATTACCGAGCCATATTTAAATGCTTTATTTAAATAAAACCCTTGTAGCAATATTTTTTACTTAATTTCCTATGTGCAAATATGTGTGTGAGGGAGAGTGAAAGAGAGAAAGAGAAGAAAAATTAATAACTTTCAAGAAATGTAGACTGTATTTTGGCCCTGCTAAATTTAAGTTTCACTCTAGTAAGCGTTTGAGCATCACCACTCCCTCCGATATAATTCTCCACCATGAGTTATTTGAAACATCTATGTCATATGTGACGCTTCCTTACCAATTCATGTGTCTTATCTTTTATAGTATCCTTAAACATCTTGAGAGTAAATGCCATGTTGCATGTCTCTTTGTATCCACAGAATCTGATTGGCCACACACAGATTCAATGCAATCCGCTTGTTGGTTCCTTTCTGTGGAACTTAAATCGGAATCTTCTGTGGCTCAATTTCATGAGTATCACTCAAAACCTGCACTACACACAGCAGTGAGACCGTTGATATCTTAGAGATACCCTAGGGTTCTGTCTGAATCATGGAAGCCTCTATGCAGGGATGCTTGGTGTGGGAGTGAGCAGGTGTGTACTTAGAGGTTAACTTGTCAGCATTTAAGAAGTGAACGAATAACCTTGATATATGGGCAACTATTGGAGAAAAATAATCGGAGCGACCACTCACCTTTTGGGCAAATATCAGTGCAAGGCTTACACATTTTAATCCCATTCTCTTCTACTTCCATTTTGGAACTAGGACAGGCACGTACACAAGAACTGGAATCTACCACAAAGTTATCTGATAAAAAAAAGTAAAATAAGCAATCATGTTAATTATCAGCAAACGTGCCTAAAACAAGCTGCTAAAGGGTTTGAAAAACAATTATGATAATTCACTGTGCATATGACTTTTCCCTAAAACAAACCTTCGACTCTCTTCATGCTTACCACATAAAAATACAACTTAAAAAAATGCTTCTTTGATTGATGGCCATGCAATTTCATCCTGAAATAGTATCTGTGAACATCTGCACTCAAATGTGTGCGGATTGTGTATGAGCAGCAACTAGTACTTGCTTGGTTAGTGCCCTATATTCTCAATTACCTCAGAGCTAGAGTGAATTTCTTTTATAGATTTAGGAAACTACATGACATTTAGTTCATGTTTTTCAATAGTTCCACTTCATTTCATGTCATGATGGGAGTTTGAAGTCTAAAAATACTTTAAGTCATGAGAAGCCGAAATGAAGTTTAAGCTAAGCTCTCTTGGAACAAGTGTATTTGCTTTTTTAAAATCGAGTCACATGATTTGCCCTATATTTTTAGATGAAGAAACACTGAAATTTCAAAGGGTAGTACTTTCATAAAAGTATACACAGTAGACCAGGAACATCTTATGACTTGCTATGTCAGTAAAGCTTTACAAATCCATTGATATGGGACAAGCCAGAACCACTTCCCAAGGAAAGGACCGATTACTACGTCAGGAGCCTCCCACAAGAAAAGTAAAACCAAAATATTTGGGGAGTTTGAAATGGCATTTTCCAAGCTGGGAAAGATACGCTCACCAAATATGCAGTAAACTGGGGGCTTCCACCTGTGGGGGTTCTTCAGCTCAAGAAGGGCATCTGGTGCCAGTTTCTGCTACAGCACAACCTGTTCTTCTACTTGGTCTATCCAACCCAGGAGGGTTTATATTCGTCCTCAACAGACTGCGAGCTTCAGCGTAAGATGTGGACCCCAGCAGCCCCTTTGTAGGAGACAGAGGAAGAGTTCTGCCCCCTAAAGAGTTACGTCCTTTAAAATTCAAAGGGCTTCATGACATGATGAGGGGGAACTGACTCAATGCCAGCGAGTTTTGAGATGTTGGAAAGATAGGTCATGTGGAGTGATGACAATTCCCATTAGGAATATCACAACAGAGAAAGCGAGGATTCCAAAGCCAAGCTACGTCATCGGCAGCATAAAATTATTCATCTATTGACAGAAGCCCTTGACATGTGTACCTGGTCCTGGTGGAGACGCTACACTTAAGCAAGGGCTGTGCCACAAACCAGAATTGTCCATGATACACACGATTCTACAAGAATCATGGAGTCAGGTTGAACAGCAATCTGCTCTACAATGGAAGCAGGACACGCGCACGGTACGGGCCTGCAAGGAGGAGATGCAAACGTCCAGACTCACGTCTCATTCACCTTCATGCTGCCTCAGTGTCCGGCTGTGGCTGCATGGGGCCCGAGAGAAGACTTATGACAAGCGTGCGGAGGAAGATACAAGCTACATTTGAAAGATAGAAGCTGCCCTGAAAGGTCACTTATGAGTGGGTGCATGAAAAAGAGTTCAAGGGAAAATTCTCCCGCAGTCAAGTTGCGAGGAGGGCATGAGATCATTCACTTTGGGTGGAAAGAGACGTTCCCAGAAATTGGAATATAACTGGATAATCAGCTCCATGACCGTGGTTCGGGGGCTTGTTTGGTTTTGATGGGAAGTGGAAGGAGCTCTCTCATTCATGATGCACTGGTTCAAGTGTTCAACTGGTATCTAAAAGGTCAATAGTTCTAGCACACAGACCTCTCTGCAGAAGAAAGATGTCCAAGTCTGTTTCCCTAAAGAGCACAGCCTTGGCCCTCTGGTGCTGGCAGATCTACTCTCTCCTATAAGGGTGCGATGAGTGGGAATTGAACTGAAGGCAATGACTTTGGGTTTGGATGTGCAATGAGTTATTTGGGGAGGAGAATGGAAATTCTAGGAAGGAAAGAAAAGTCTGGGTTAGAGATATATGCACGTATCCACAGGAGTGGGCACAAAGCATGAAGGTCTTTACAGTCCAACTCAATGTCCCCCAGAATGTATCCAGGAGGCCTGGTGGTGTAGAGGGTAACACAGCGGGCTTTGAACCGCCAGATGTTGCGTGGGAGAAAGACACTGCTTTCTACTCCCTTGAAAAGTACAGTCTCAGAAACCCACAGGGGCTGTTCTGTCTTCTGTTGTGTTCTCTATGAGTCAGAATTGCCTCGAGGCTAGTGAAGTTGGTTTGAGAATGTGTCCACCACACAAGAAACACTTCAATAAGTGTGCTTGGCACAATGGATGGATGGATGGAGTGTGATAAGAGCTGTATGAGGCCCCAATAAAATGATCTTCTTTAAGTGTATCAATAGACAACCCTGTTTCATTCCTTTCCCCACAGGTGCTGATGTTAAGACCACTGTCAAATAACCTTCATAAGAATTGAACTTGCAATAGGTGCGTGCACCACACATTAAGTAAGGTCTTTCCTTCAAGACCTTGGGCAATGTCACATGATATAACACCTTTGCACTTCAGCAGCAATATCTACCAAATAAAAATTTAAAAGGTTACCGTTTAATTACTTTGGTGCAATTAAATCTATTTCAAAAAGCTGGTCTTTGGAGGTTTTAAAACTCAGAACTCTAGATGAAAATTTAAGGACTTATATGTAAAAGAAAATGGCAATAAAGGGTCCATACAAAACTGAAAAGAGAAATAGACAATTCCACAGTAATAGTAGGAACCTTCCATGAACAACTTTTTATGAGGGATAGACCATCTAGATGGAAAATGAAAACACCAGAGACCTAAACAACACAAGCAACCAACTTGACCACCCAGACCTCTTCACTAGACTCCTCTGGACAGCAACACAATACACATCCTTCCCTGCCCATGTGGATCATTCTCCAGCAAGGACCACTATTGAGAACACAAAGCAAGCCTCCATACATTTGAAAACAGTTAAATCATACATTTCTCAGCTATAAAATTAGAAACCAATAATAATGTGGATAAACTAGAAATCTCTTACACTACCGGTGAGAGTATGAAATGGTTTAATCATTGTGGAAAATGTTACGTGCTTCCTGAAAAAGTTGGAAACAGAAGTACCTTATGATCCAGCACCTACCACTAAATATCTATCCTAAAGAAGTGAGACTAGACACAGATGAGTATATGTACACCATTATTCGCAAAAGCAAAAAGATGGAAACAACCTACGTGCCCTTTTCAGATGAATGATGATGAACCCTATGATATACATACACAATGTAATACTGTTCAGCATTAAGGAATAATAAAGAATATGCAAAATATCTCTTAGGACTGATGAACTTGAAGTCTCCTTTTAATTGAGCATATGGAAAATTATGATTTTTTATTTCAATGTTGCTGAAAGGAAAACCATGAATAAGTATTATAGTGGTCACTAAAGGCAAACAAAGTGACTTTAGTAAATATAATGACATATTACATTGAATTCCCAAAGAAAATTCAGCTGTTAACTTTGAATATTCTGGATGAACAATTTGATAGATTACTTCCTATACTCTAAATAGCTATTGTTTTTGTCTTAATTCAGATTTTATATTTATACTATAATACTAAATATCCAAGTATAAGTATTGCTTAAGCATAAGCACTTAGAAATAATTCTAATTCAAATCTTATTCTTATTAGAAGCAGATCCTATCCGTTACATAGCTTGCAGTCACTTAACCAATCACATTCCTGAGAAGCAACATGGTGGTCAAAAAAGTAAAAGTATGGTGAAAATAACAAGCATTTAGAGATCAGTGGGACTGTATCAACGAAGGCATTCATTTGTTCTGAATTGTGGTCTAATCATTTTAATTGGTTGAGTTTTGATTTCCTTATTTGAAAAAATGGGAGGAATGGTATCCATACCCAATGTAATTCACAATATTATTAGAACCCTCAAAGTAGAATGAAAGTACACTAATTTCCTGTTTTTAAATGATGATCCAATTAATTTGATGGCTGCTGTGTTACTTACGCGGGCATTTCTTGACACAGAATGCTCCATAGGTGTACTTAGCATTGAAATTGTGCTCCAGTTGAAAGGTAGTTGGATTGTAGACAAATGTTTGAGGACACTGAGTAACACATGCTCCACTGTCGTTGAAATTCATGCAGGCCTGTAAAGTAGCAAATATTATTTTCATTTTAAAATAATCTTCATAAACCTTGTGAAAAGGACACTGCTCTGGAAGCTTTGTGAAGAAGGATGTGTTCTCTAGTGGTAATCCCTTTCTCCTTTGCATCTATTAACTACGACGCACTACACACACTCATCATTCCAAAGCCAAGTGCGTTTATTTCTGAGCTACAAAGCTGCTATTCAGGAATTTTACAATATCCTTTTCAAATGTCAGTTAATTTATGTTTCTATGGTTATTGACATTAAAACTGCTTAGTGCTTGCACTCATTTCTAAATTGAGGCTTGATTTAAATGATTGAAGCTAGCTAAATATGAAAAAAAAATAATTTAGGCTACCTATATTTATTCCCTGGCACTACCAACTAAATCCTTAATTGCATAGATTAGTCTTTTTTTGAAGTGGCTTTTGTTCAGGTGAGAGTCTTAAGTGATACATGAAATGCAGCCATCACTTTTGTGTAGGAAGCAGAGTGATGGGCATTAAACCTAGACTGAAAGAAAAGGCTTTCAAATATGCCTAGGCAAGGGTGATGTGGTGGATGTAATGCAAAAATGTACAGCGGTAACTATGGTCATACAGTCATTAAAAACTATACTGTATTCTTCATGTGGTCTTTTGTATAATGCCATACCATTTATTAAAAATAAGTTCGCGTATGACTATTGATTTCTGCTCATTTACATTTTTATTGTTACTTATTTACTAATATGTTCAAATGTGTTTTAGGAAAATTAAAAACAAAATTGCAGAGTGGAGACTCAAAGCCCATCGGTAGGCAACTGGACACTCCCTCGCTGAAGGGTTGAGGGGAGGAGATGAGCCAGTCATGGTGCAGGGTAGCAACAATGAAACATACAACTTTCCTCTAGTTCTTAAATGCTTCCTCCCCCCACTATCATGATCCCAATTCTACCTTACAAATCTGTCTAGCCGAGAGGATGTACACCAGTACAGATAGGAACTGGAAACACAGGGAATCCAGGATAGATGGTTCCTTCAGGACCAGTGGTGAAAGGGGCGAGGCCTGGAGGGTGAAGGGAATGGGGTTGAAAGTGGGAACCTATTACAAGAATATACGTATAGCCTCCTCCCTGGGGTATGGACAGCAGAGAAGAGGGCAGGGGGAGACATCAGACAGTGTAACTTATGACAAAACAATAATGATTTGTGAACTATGGAGGGTTCATGAAGGAGGGGGGAGTGGCGAGGGAGGGGGAAGTGGGCAGCTGATATTAGGGGCTAGAGTTGAAGGCAAATGTTTTGAGAATGATGAGGGCAGTGAATGTACACATGTGCTTGACACAGTGGATGCATGTATGGACTGTGATGAGAATCGTACGAGCCCCCAAGAAAATAATAATAAAAAAAGAGGTAATCTATAGAAAAGTATACCCTCCTGTGATGACATGTTGAGCTTCTTACTTTAAGGACAGCAATTTGAAACCTCCAGCCATTCTGAGGGAGAAAGATGAGCTTTCTGTTCCTTTTAAAAGTAACAGCCTCAGAAATTCACAGGGGCAAGTTCTACCTGCCATGTAGGGCCACTGTGAGGTGGCTTCAACTGGATGGCAGTGAGTTTGTTTATATATATATATAAAAGACCATTCAAAGAACACCATCATATTATTTAATGATTGGATACCACAGTGATCTATGGAAACATAATTAACAAATAGATAGAACAACTGATTATCTTTTTACATTTTAATTAAAAGATCAGTTCATTGGAGACTCTTACTACTGTTACAATCCGTGCACTGATTATATCAGGCGTGTGTGTCCATAGGTTTCCTTCATTCTTTTCTAGATATTTACTTTCTGTTGAGCCCTTGAGATCAGCCTCTCTTTCCCCTCCCTCCCCCCAACCTCATACCCTCTTGATAGATTATACATTATTATTGTTTTCATATCTGACACTGACCAGAGTCTCCCTGTGTTTTCTGTTGTTCTTCCCCCTGGGGAGAGCTGTGTGGATCGCTACCATCGGTTCCCCCTTTCTTACTTCCCCTCTCCCCCTTCTCCCTACCCTCTGGTAGCTCTAATCCCACTCCTTTTCCTGGATTCCGTGTGTCCTGAACCCCCATCTCTTATCTCTATCTAGTCTGAACTGAGAAGCAGCCCTGGGGTCATGATAGTCGGGGCTGAGAAAGCCTCAAGGAACCAGAGGATTATTATGTGTTTGATTGATGCTTTACTGCACCGTGGTTGATTCATCCCTTCCCTGTGGCCCTTCTGTTGGGATATTGTTACATTGTCTACGGATGGATTTTGGGCCTCTGCTCTGATTGTCTTCATTGAAAAAAATTAAACTTCCATAGAACTAATTTTGGCCTTGGAAGCAAACTAATGTGAACTCAAACAATGTTTTCTATTTCCTCATAAATCGCATATCCTACTATTATTGAACATTAATTTATTCTGTTTCTTCAAAACATTTGCCTCATCAATTGTTGTTTGAGCAAGCACTTTATCACAACATGCAACTCCTTGGTGATGGTCGACGAGACCCACAATCAGAAAGGGAGTCATTACTCACTATGATGGCACTTTCCAGAACAAATCTCTTAAAAAGCAATCTGACAAACTCAGTAAATTTCAGTCTGTGGCTAAAAGTGGCCTGTGTCTTTATAATTGCTCTGTAGCATTGCGCACACATTTCATGGGAGCAAATGGACACGAGCTTGTGGAATAAAACAGAGTTCCTCTTCTGACAGCACCCAAAAGCCATGCAATCTCCACCAAGACCTCGTCTGGCGACCTTGAACTCTGTGCCAAGTGCCGGAGTGGACTCACTGAACCACTGAGGAAGAGTAATGCAATGAGGGTTTTGAACTTCCTCTGGCATTCTGCTTTTTGTTTGCGATAATAGAATATAGAAAACTGCACAGACACACTTCTAAGACAATGGTTTTTGTTTTTCCATTTTGGTGTTTGCCAAACCACAAGTATCATAACACTTGTAGTATTCCCCTCGAGGCCAAGCTTCTGTGGCATATGTGATGGCAGAAGAGAGCTGCTGAATAGCTTTCCTTACACTGCGAGCTTTCTCATCCTCGGCTCTCCCTTCTCGCTGCTCTGTTCTGCAACACACATTTCTGTTGTATGTGAGACTTACACAAATAAAAGTCTTGATGACATAAACCAATATAAAAATGATAATAGCTATTATTTATATAGTGCTGGTTTCCAGTACCAAATCCTGTTTGGCTGAAAGCAAAATTCTACATATGCCTAGGTGTTCATTAGATATAAGACAAGAGGGAAAAAGTGAAATAAATTCCTATTTTATTTTTAACACTTAAAAACTTTCTTATATTTCTAACTTAAAATTAAAGGAATCATCCATTGTTAACTCTAGCTCACAAAATTACTTGCACACAAAATTAACTATATCAGGAATATTGATGTCTGAATATAACTAACATATGTTCCCAATAAGCTATAAATGTTCATTGTAAGGAAGTAAAAATGCCCTAAAGTAAAAATCACATTGTCAGACATAAGTTGCTTTAAATGTACATTAGTAGCTGATATTGATTTTGAGTAAGTGATATACACTTGTAAATAATATAAAGTGGAAAAAATGCATAAATTTATGTGCTCCATTTCTCAGGCATATTCAAGAAACATGCAAGTGCTCCCATGTATAGGACTCAATAATGGTTCAACATAAACGGGCAATCATGGCAAATTTTGAAGAGGATGCTATTAGTACTTAAACTGATATTTAAATATGTTTCCCTTCAGGTTCTGCATTAAATCTCGCTGTCAATATAAAGTATATCAGAATGACACAAGTTATTAACCAGAACAGAATGATTCTACTTAACAAATCAACAGCTCAGTGAGGAAATGAAGGCTCTGAAGGCACAGAATCTTTCTTTTTCCCGAGATGGCTAAACTTAAAATTATTGTGATCAGCTATCGAGGATGTGTGTGTCCCCATCAAAGCAAGAGGGAGGGAAGCAACGAGGAAAAGGAGGAGCCCCGACGTACAAAGCAGTCAGTGTCCTTCGGTCCTGCGCAGCCGCCAGCACATTCTCGGTGGCAGCAGTCACTGACGTAGGGACCATAGCACCTGCCATCACATTGCTCGGCACACACTGTCCTGGTCACTGCAGAGAAAAAGCAGAGGGCCTGGATTAATGCCATCTAACCACAGGAACTTCTGAGATTAAGAAGCAATTGAGAACGAGCAGAGTGCTGGGTAGCAATTTGCATAACTCCCAGTTTCCCATTTCATAAACATTTAGAGAACAACACTGCAACTAGGTCAAAACTAACACACAACAAACTTCAGATTTTTAAATGGTCATTTTAAAATATTTGCTCATGTTCCATAAAATGTTTAGTGCTTTACAGAAAGCATACCATTCAATCCAAAAGGATCAATCAAATCTGACATAACTGCATAAGGGACATCGACAAGCTGGAAAAGATGGAGTCAGCCTTGTGGAGGATTTGCAAGACTCACACAGTAAGCTCCTTCAGCTGATGCTGCTACATTTGAAGCCACATATCCTAGCAGTCAAAGCAGAAGGGGACACACACTTGTTCAAGGTTCGCATTATATATGCTATAGTTGACAGGCTTTAAAAAGTAACTTAGCAGCAGTAGGAGAAGTGGTCCTAAGCCTCAAATTTATCTAAAATTTCTTCCAAGTTCTTCAAAATAAGGGAACTATGAATTGAACTAAATGGTCTCTTCAAATACAAAAGGAATGCAATTGTAGTAAACACAATAAAATGGTGCATTGGTTTTTAGCCTAACTTTCAGTGCAAAATGACAGAACTAGCCAAAAGTATGTGGGATAGTTAGGTTTAAGTGAGCCAATATTCTCCCATCATATGATCTAACAACAACTCTATGAAGCAGCCCAGTCAATGTAGTCACAGTCTTGGAACAATGGAGGGAAGTTTCATCTGGGGCGTGGCTTAGCATAGACTCAGTATAGTGTGCAGCAGCTAGAACATTCCTACTGCAGGATCCGGGTCCTGCACCTGGCCCGCTGACCACCTGTTATATCACCTGCCCATCTCAGCAGTCATCAAGGCAATGCAGAATTTGGTTTCATTTTTCCTATCTTGCATTCAGTAACCTTTTTGTCCATCTGTCTGTTGGTCTTCCTCCTTCTTCCTACTTCCGGTCCATCAGTTTCTGCGGCGGCAAGAATTAGGAGAAGCCTCCAGCTTACATCTAACCCCAGACTTGAACGCGACTGGATGTAGTCACAACTGTGAGAGCTCTTTCTTGACACATATCTCTTTCTATATCGGTATAATACCACTGGTTTGGTTCTCCAGAGGTTCTCTAGCCTAAAGCAGTGGACTTAATGAAAACAATGCTATAGTCTGGGCATCAAATTTATTGTCACAAACTCGCTGCCATTGATCCAATGCTGACTCAAAGCTACTCAGTGTGGGATCCAAGGCTGTACCTGTCTCAGGGAGTAGAAAGCCCAGTCTTTCTCCCGGGGAGATGCTGGTGGTTTCGAACTGGGGCTCACAGCCTGAAGTGTAACCATGAGACCACCATGACTCCTGTACAGTTCCATTAAACACATTTATGTCAAAGAGAGGATTTCAAAGTCTTAGAGGAATTCGTTCTATAGGCTATGGGAAGCATTTCATTTCTTGGCTTCTGTATTCAAACTTGAGCCTATGTTTATGCCCATCTCTTTGATAATTCTAAACTTCCTTCGTTGGTACTATATCAAGACTCTGCCATGGAAACTTTAGTATTTTCCCAGAGCATCTCTTGACAGTTTTTCAGAAGTCGACTGGCTCTCTCCTGTCTGATTTCGTGTGCCATCTACAAATAGAAGACTTTCAGAACTGTATTCCCTATTGAGCCTCCACATATATTTCTATTTCTCTATCGACACCATTATTTACATATCCAAAATCTCACCCACTCGCTCTTTTGAGGAAGAAAGATAAGGCTATGTGCTCCGGACAGATGTAATGCTCTGAAACCCGAATGGCAGTTCTACTCTGTCCGATAGGCACACTATGTGTTGATCAGCGTGAGGCCTCTGAGTTTAGTTTTGAGTTTGAGAACGGGTATAAAAAGAGCCTTGGTGGCACAATGGTTAAGTGCTCTATTGCCAAAGAACAGGTTGACAATGGTAGCCTATAAATTGATCTGTGGGGAAGAGATGCGGTAATCCCTCCTCTGCAAAGGTTACAGCCTTGGAAACCCCATGGGGCATGTCAGCTCAGTCATCAAGGGTCATTATGAGCCAACATCAACTTGATGCAATAGGTAAGGGGAACCACCACCACTCAAGTGTCATGTCAGCTTACTGCAGTGGTTGGTGACTTGCATGTTACTAGATAATGCTTCCCATATGCACTACATATATTTTCAATACCAGAGTAGGAAGAAAGATTGAAATATACTTCTGAAAATTAGCCAGTGGGACCCCTACAGAGTGCAGTAAGGGTCAAAGAGATAGGATAACGATAATGTTCATTAATGGAGTGCTGGAAGATGTAGCCCCTATGTTAGAAAGCACTCAAAAGACAAAAAAAACAAAACCCACGCCACTGAGTCCATTCTGACTCATAGTGATCCTGGAAGTGCTAACAATAGATTTCGCATACTAATGAGCACGAGGTTGATGCCAGGGCAGACCATGTGGCTAATCTGTTGCACATTCGCCATGAGCCAAAGGCTGCTGGATGGCACCTCACAAGAACAACAATGATGTGTTCAACAGGACTATGGTTCTCTCACATCGGAGTACATTTCTCTTCTTCATTTTCAATCTCCATTAATAGACGCACTGAAGAATCAATCTTACCCAAAGAGAGAACTGATTTTGGACTTTAGCGACTGAGAAGTGGTCTCTAGACCTCTGGAACGCAAGCATGATAGGAGTAGTATTCTGGTATAAAACCTGATTCACTGTATTTCACTTAGGGTATGTATGTATTTTGATATGTATATATATGTATTTTGATATTGTACAGGATCATTTTCTAGGACACCTTCGAACGCATAAGATTCACCTTCTAAGTGCTTTCAAGATTCACATTTATTTTGTCCATCGGAGAACTCCGTCATCCAGAGTCCTGCATCTGGTATTCATGTATTTTTGATGTATAATTATGTCACACACACACACACATCTATTTGCTATTTGGTCAAAAATATCTACTCATTAGCTTGTATACTCATACATTGTCCTTATACTGATGTTCTTATCTTTAATCAAGTGTTATATTTATTTAGATGCCCTAATTAGTAGTTCATATCATATAACGGAGACATTAATGGGCATCTTGTAAAGAACAAATTCAAACAAAACTTGTCTCTTACAGATTCAACAAAGCTCTCTTTATGTGCCAAGAGTAGCTAATTAAAAAAGACATAAACATGTTAAATAAATTGCTAGATACAAAATAAATGGAAAGTTTACTAATTTGCTTCTGGTTGACAGACATTGAGCAGTTGGAAGACAATTGCATGGATTTGAGTCAGCAATCATACTCTGTATGTAATATATTTTAATCAGACACATGTTCAAATGTTAATGTCTATTTTTAGTTCAATGCTGATTTAAGATTTAATTATATTAAATGTTTCAATATCCCATTATTTAAATTCTTTGGTCATTACTGGAAGATGATTCATGTAGAAAATATTTATAAAGATGGAGAATCCATCCTGAATCTATTTTAAAATATTTATTCAATATTCATATTAACAAATGAGAGTACAGAAAACTTTCCATAATTGTAAGTTCTACCTCCATGAATTCAACTAACCACAGATCAAAACAATAAAAAACAAAAAAATCAAAAAGCACATAACTGCTCAAAGGAATGGTACAATATTATTACACAGTATTTATATTGTGTTAGGTATAGTAAGACCATCGTCACCATCATCCGTGAAGGAACGTTTGTAAATCAGAAGTCAAAGGAGGGATTAGTATCAGAGCCTAAATTGTGAGAATCTGGTTTGCAAAAGACTATGGACGACAGTGAAAGCCCAAGATCCATGTGTTTCCTATGCAACAAGCCTCGGTGAGCTGCCTCTCTCCCCAGCCGAAGACGGGCGGTAAGCGGTGACTAAACCGAGTGCATTGGAGAGATGAGCACCAAAGGAAAAGGCGTCAATCTGATTGGAACAGCTAAACGGTTGTCAGTCGGTACCCCACTGAGGCACGCAGCACCTGATCTGGTTGTCCTCATTTCCTGTATTTCGGTCTGTTCATATGAGGGTGTATCTCAGAGGTGTTATCATTGGGGCCACCCTCTTGAACTTGTGGCATATTTTTTTGGTATATGAAACCCAGGATTGATGAACATATAGAGATAGCACGCATAATAAGGGGTTTTTGTTGTTGGCGGGGGGTGGGGGGGTGTTGTACAGGGGTGGTGGGGGGGTAAAAGGGACATGATGTCAAGGAGTCCAGGAAGAAAAGAAGATGTTTGGAAACTGATTGTGGGAGCAATTGTACAATTTTCCTGATGTGATTGAACTGTGTAATAATAATATATATTAACTCCCAGTTAATTAAAATAAAATAGGAATCTAATGATGATTTAAAGTATACAGGCCAGTTAGTTATATGCAAATACTTATATTGTATATTTATTTATATAGGAGACATTATATAAGGGGCTTGAGTACGTGAGGGTTTGGGTGTTTGCTGGACTTCTGGAACTAATAACCCTGTAGCTGTCTAATTATTGAAATAATGGGTACAAACTTCTTCTAAGATTCCATCATAGAGTCTATCAAACTTTATGGTAAAAGACTTAAAAGATGCATTTTTAAATTATTCCATAATAAGGTTACATATCTTATTTTTTTTCAAGATCTTTGAACTCAGCTATTCTATGTATTTTAGGAACAAACAAAGAACCCCTCTAAGATATTTTCCAAATTACAGATGCCTTTTAAGTATTTAATTCAAGGGTTTATAAAGGAAGTGTGGTGAAGTGAATTTTTTTAATATGGCTCTTCTACCCAAATCTCTACTATTCCCAGCAGGTGATAGGGTGGGACTATGCAAACGGGGTGTGTGTAACACTAATGGATGGGATTGTTCAGTTTCCATTACCTTGCTATAAGGCTGAGCCATCTCTGAAGGAGCAGCCGA